ATATATATATATATATATATATATATATAATTTTTTGGGGGCATTTAATGTATTATTGGCCTCTGGGGGCATGTTATCTCTGCAGGTGGATAAGATGTATTCATATTATAGGACTATTTTCATATGACTAACACTGAATAATCCAACCAGTGCAGGTTCCTATTCCCCTCACAATATATGAGTCGCTGTTTCCATTTTCACATTTAAACACTTTGTGTAGTGAAAGGTTTTTAGGTTTTTGTTGAGGCTAAATAAACATATTTCATCATCAGACAACTGCTTTTAAAATATTGTTCATCTTTCCTCCTGCTTTAATCGTCAGCCTGAAGAGACTGAAGAAATGTCTCAAATATTACTGATTCTATTCACACTTAAAGTTTAACTTTTATGTGTATCTTTGAGTAAAATCATTAAAATAACTAATTTAAATGAAATTTTTAATGTAGTGGGTCATTTATTTTTTGACTGACAAAAATAAAGCAATTAATTGATTTAATATTTCATAATTTCCAGTATTTATACAAGTATAAATTAGCATCTCCCAGCCCTCCATGTTCAGTGTTGGTTCCACTATAAACAACATAGATTTCTGAAGGAGACGACAGGTTGGGAAACAGAGACGTTAGATGCAAAACAACACAGCTGCCCTGTAGGGGGCAGCATCCCATCACCAACAGAGATGAATTGTGAAGCATCATGAACATTTTGGAGTTTCTCCTAAAAGTCAACAAGACATGAAATCAGCTCAAGTCCACAATTATTTCAATGTAAATTATGTTTAATAAACACAATTTATTAAACTTTTAATAAATTATGAAGCTACATTTGACCACATGCAGCCCCCTGTAGGTCGGGATTCAGCTCCATATCTTTTTTACAGAAGGCTGCAACAAGAAGATACAGTAATATTATTAACATTGTAAAATATTAGCAATTTGTTTTATGTATTAGCTTAACTGCTATGGTTTTGATTAAATACTCTTTTTAGCCCTAAGCAACATATTTTTTACTGCTTTATAAATCAAAGTCCCAAAATAAAATGAAAAGGCCCAATAATGTACCTTCCCACTCTGTTTAATGATAACCAGAGCAGAACAAGTTTATTTCCTCAACAAAGTATTTCCTGATTTAAGCAGGTGTTGCCCCAGACAGTTAGTGAAAATTATGGATGCACCTATACATGTGTTGTTCTGCTTTCACTGCAAAAACAGAAAATCTTACCAAGTATTTTTGGTCTAGTTTCTAGTATAAATGTCTTTGTACACTAGAAATAAAACAAAACTAACTTACCAGTAACTTTTCAGCAACATGTGGGAGCTTCTGTTATATCAATAA